CATTGGCGACATAGTAGTATTTAGCTTAAAATGGGGAGCAAGTGGAGTACTAACTGACTTAGTCTTGTCATCTATGCCAAAACGTTGAAGTACTCTCTCCAAATATTCCTTTTGAGATAAACAGAGTTTCTTTGAACGTCTATCTCTAATTATCTCCATGCCAAGAATTTTCTTTGCCTCACCCAAATCCTTCATCTCGAACTCCTTCTTCAGTTGAATCTTCAACTTATCAATTTCTTCCGAATTCTTGGAAGCTATCAACATATCATCAACATATAGGAGAAGATATACAAAGGAACCATCTTTAAGCTTGTGCAAATACACACAATGATCGTATTTGCTTCTCTTGTACCCTTGCCGCAACATAAACTCGTCAAATCGCTTGTACCATTGTCTAGAAGATTGTTTCAATCCGTACAACGATTTTTCAAGTTTGCACACCATATTTTCTTTTCCAGCAACTTTGAATCCTTCTGGCTGAGTCATGTAGATTTCCTCCTCCAAGTTTCCATGTAAAAACGCAGTTTTTACATCCATCTGAACTAGTTCCAAATCCAATTGTGCTACCAAAGCCAACATAATTCTAATGGAGGAATGTTTTACAACTGGAGAAAACACTTCATTGTAATCAATTCCCTCCTTTTGAGCATATCCTTTGGCCACCAATCTTGCTTTGTAGCGAACATCTACTTGGTTAGGAAATCCTTCCTTCTTTGCAAATACCCATTTGCACCCAATTGCTTTCTTTCCCTTCGGGAGATTGGCCAATCTCCATGTATGATTCTGATGAAGGGACTGTATTTCATCATTCATGGCAATCCTCCACTTATCTTCTTCTGAACTTTGGACAGCGTCTTTATAAGTAGTAGGAACATCATCAGCTACAATTGAGGTTGCACAAGCAACCGTCTCTATGAGACGAACAGGTTTCGTTATTGTTCTTTTTGGCCTGCTGGTTGCTATTGATTCAAGTTGTTGTTGAGATTCCTGAGTTGGAATCTCCTCTACTGGCTCTCCTTCCAGAGGGTAATCTTCATTTGTTTCCTCCTCTGCTTCTTGTGTAGGAAAAATAAATTTTCCCTCAAACTCCACCTGCTTAGAAGCACCTTCATTTTGTTTGGTATCTTCTGTTACCTTATTTACCATAGCAAATTCATCAAAGGTAACATCTCTGCTGAATATTACTTTCTTTGTCATAGGACACCATAAGCGATATCCTTTGACTCCAGAAGTAATTCCCATAAAAATAGCCTTCTTTGCCCTTGGATCCAATTTTGACTCCGTCACATGATAATATGCAGTTGAGCCAAACACGTGCAAAGAGTTATAATCTACAGCAGGTTTTCCGTACCATTTTTCAAATGGTGTTTTGCCATCAATAGCAGCAGATGGTAGACGATTAATGAGGTGGCATGCATATGTAATTGCCTCAGCCCAAAATTCTTTGCCCAAGCCAGCATTGGACAACATACACCGTACCTTCTCCAGCAAGGTCCGGTTCATACGTTCTGCCACTCCATTCTGTTGTGGTGTATGTCTAACAGTGAAGTGTCGGACGATGCCATCATTTTCACAGACCTTATTGAAATGATCATTTTTGTATTCACCTCCATTGTCTGTGCGAATACACTTGATCCTCCTGCCTGTCTGATTCTCCACCATCGTCTTCCATTTGAGAAAAATTCCCAACACTTCATCTTTGCTCTTCATTGTATACACCCATACTCTTCGGGAAAAATCATCAACAAAGGTTACAAAATAGTGCTTCCCACCCAATGAAGGTGTTTTGGAAGGACCCCAAACATCAGAGTGTACATAATCCAAAATGCCTTTAGTATTATGGATCGCTGTACCAAATTTAACCCTTGTCTGTTTCCCTTTAACACAATGCTCACAAAACTCCAAGTTGCAAGCCTTTACTCCTTTTAACAATCCTTGATCTGATAGAGTTTTCAAGGATTTTCCTCCAGCATGTCCCAAGCGCATGTGCCATAGCTTGGTTGCTTCTGCCTCTTTGTCGTCACTGGATGTTACTGTCGCTGTCCCAATAACTGTACTGCCACGATAGCGGTACATATTATTATTCTTCCGATTAGCCTTCATTACCACTAGTGCACCGGAGCATACTCTCATCACTCCATTTTCTGCAATGATTTTGAACCCTTTTGATTCTAGGGCTCCCACAGAGATGAGATTCTTCTTCAAATCCGGTACATATCGAACATCTATCAATGTTCTGATCATTCCATCATGGTTCCTTAATCGTATTGAACCAATGCCATATGAGGTAAGAGGGCTGTTATCCGCTGTGTGGATGACTCCATATTCTCCTTCTTGAAATTCCACGAACCAGTCCCTGTTGGGACACATATGATAGCTACAAGCCGAGTCCATCAACCATATGTCTGATGATGTTGATGACTCTGTTGTAACTAATGAGAAGTCTGAATCATCACAATCAGCTACATTTGAATCCATAATGGCCTTTCCATTGTTATGTTTGGCCTTATTCTTCAACTTCGGACAGTCTTTCTTCCAGTGCCCTTTTTCTCGACAAAAGGCACATTCATCTTTGCTGGGTCTGGATCTTGACTTGGATCTTCCCTTCTTTGTCCTCGTTTGATTTTGAGGACGACCCCTCACAAATAGTGCTTCTCCTTCTCCGCCCTTCTGTTTTTCTCGCTTTCTTTGTTCATAGCTGTACAAAGCCGAACAAACTTCTCTGAGAGAAATTTCGTCATTTCCATGGAGTAGAGTAGTTTCAAGGTGCTCGTACTCATCAGGAAGTGACGCCAACAACATTAAGGCCAAGTCACCATCATCATAAGTTGTATCCATATTTTGCAAATCTGTGACCAACTTATTGAAACTGGTGATATGTTCATTCATCGTGGTACCAGGAACATAGGTGAAGTGAAACAGTCTCTTCTTCATGTACAATTTATTTTGACTGTTTTTCTTCAAAAATTTATCCTCCAGTGCTTTCCATAATTTACTTGCAGAAGTTTCCTTTGTGTATGGATATTTCTGCTCTCTAGCAAGGTAGGATCGAATGGTACCGCAAGCAACACGGTTGATAATTCTCCAATCTTCTTCTCCAATAACATCTGGTTTCTTTTCTTCAATGGCCAGATCTAGCCCTTGTTGAAAAAGGACATCTAGAACCTCGCCTTGCCACATCCCAAAATGTCCGGACCCGTCAAAAATTTCTACCGCAAATTTCGCATTTGACACAATTCTTGTCATAAGCGAAGATGCCAATGATGACGTATTGTTGACACTTGATGTAGATTCTTCTTGTTTATTGTCTCCCATATTTGACACAAATATTATTTAATAGCTGACGACACAAATCAAGATTATTTCCTTTCTGATGTAGAAGATCAGACTAAGCTGCAACTACAGAGCATACTCAGACAGAACCTTGACTCAGTTACCAAGATAAATCTTTTCTGATGTGGAAGATCAGACTATGCTGCAACCACAGAGCATACTTAGACAGTACCTTGGCTCTGATACCAATTGTTGCGGAAGCCAAATGTATATAGTGTGAATAAGTCACAACTACTATACCAAAAATTATGACAGCCACCAAATAATAAATAAGACAATAAAACAACAATAAAGGGAACACCAGAATTTACGAGGTTCGGCTAATTTTGCCTACTCCTCGGACACAACCAATATTTTATTTCACTCCAAAAATACAAGTGAAATAATACTAAAGAGAGAAGATACAAATGTCTTAAACAGATGAGAAGGCAAAGGAGAGGTGTATATAAATCCTAAACATTAGACCTTCTTTTATAGGGGGAAAATCCCCCCAAAATTCAAGAGCCCACCGATGTGGGACAAATTTGTCAAACTTCAACAGTCTAACCCTACATTTCTACAAGAGGCTGTTTCCACAGCTTGAACCCGTGACCTCCTGGTCGCATGGCAGCAACCTTACTAGTTACGCCAAGGCTCTCCTTCAAGGGCCTAACATTGATAATATGTTTAAAATGACCTTATAACCTAACTGAACCGCAAAAGTTAGCTTGGGAGGATTGTCCAAGATACATAAACAACAACTTTAACCAAAAAAAAAAAAACATGTAAAGTTTGAGCACAGTTTGAGTATGATCTTATAATATGTAAACGACAGAAAAGTCTTTTACATATGATATATAGTTCGAGTCAAAAGCAATAGGTTTAACCGAACACAAAACTCGTCTCAACAGGCAACAACAACAACAACTCAATAAAATCCAACAGGAAAACTCGTTCGGACACACAAAGATACAAAAAGAACCTTTTACATATATACCTGTCAGTTCTTTCCTTGAGTTTCAACAAAAACTTGTCATTATCTTCATCTGCAACTTCCACAAGCCTTTCAAGTAAATTCTTTCTTTCTTGAAATACAAGATTATTTATATCAACTTCAGCAGATGCACCTTGTAATCCAAACAAGAGACCTTTTCTTAAACGATCAAATGTTGGGAGTTTTTCAAGTGCTGCCCATTTAAGAGCTTCTTCATCATCTTCATCTCTTGTTGAACGATTAAAAACAGTACAATTATTTCTCCATTTAGAATTGTTTTTCAACCTTAAACTTCCCCTCATACTACTAGGTCGAAAATTACTTGAATTTGTTGGCTCCATTTTGAACCAATCACTATATCAAAATGCAAGAAACTTTCTTTTAAGGTCTAAGGGATTATGTAGAAGTAAGTACAAAAAAAATGCGGGCTATATATAGAAGTGAAAAGGTCCAAATTTGCCACTAATATTTGTGATTTGTCTTATATATGCCTCGAGTTCTCACTTTTTATTTTTTGTATCAAATATGCCTCTTCCACTAACAGATTTTCACCATGAAAATATTGGTCATATTTTTCGGTGGAAGCCAAATAGAAATATATTTTGACCATTTTAAATGTGGACCACATTTTTTTTAGAAGAATTAACCTAAATAGTAGTTCATATATTTATTCTTTAATTTCCTCGTGATTTATGTCATCTTATATTATGCTACTATGTACTTTTCCACGTTTTTTTTCTCTTTAGTCGTATTTTAGAGAAATGCAACTTAAAATGATTTGCACTAATTATACGTCCAAGGAAAGGGAATGGAAAATCAATAATGGCAAATTTATTTTTGTGTTTCGAAAATAAGGAAAATAAACTTCCTTAGCAAAGCTTAAACAAAGAGGTTGGGCTGTTTGCGTTATCGATTTGACTTCACTTTACTTATAGGAGTGTGGGCAATGAAAGTGTGATGCCCACGACGGAGGACAAGTCAAGCAGAACTGACAGTCCTAGGTTGGCAAGCATCTGAACAAGGGATGCACATGTCGCCTTAGGCAAATCAAGTGAAGAGCTTTATAAGTCATGACACAAGTTCACATGGTGCGCATTTTTGTGACTTGATGCGACATAGCCCAATACGTGTTATGAGCTTGGGTCTTAACAGAAAGCTCATTTAGTAGACAGCGAGAGAACTACAAACACCCACCTCCTATCAAAATGAAAACCAACTAGCAGAAGTAGCGAGAATTGAATCCACACCTATTTTGCTCTACCTTGAAAGACTAGCACTAATAGCACTAGACAATTTAAGAACCAAACTGCTAATTTCTTTTCCTTCTTTTTGTAATCTCATACGACCTAAGTTTGTCTAACATTTATTTTCTCTATTTTTTTTTCTACTTAAGGTAGTCTTATTTGAGTTGCTTCGCCAAATTTCATTGACCTTATTTATCTATCAACCAAAATCCATACATAAAAATTAAAAAGCACGCAAAGTATAAGATTTTGCAGATTTGGTATTTGAGAAAACTTTCTATAACTAGACAATTTCCAAAAATGTGGAGCTTCTTTAGTTAGCAAAAATGGGCGTCAAGTCCTACGTGAACAAATTTAGATTGTGTACGTATCTAGAGGTGTCAAATTTAACCAATGAAAACACAATCCGTTCATCCTTCTAGATTTGAATGGACACACACATACATATTTTTTTGGCTAGCAAATACAATTAGTTTTAGCCGACCGACCCATTTTATATTTTTACCTTAATATTTATAGGCAGGTCATTTCGAGCATAGATCAAGTTGACCCTCTAAAATTTGGGCCAACTTGGGCTACATATATAGCCCAAATAAACAGATAAGCTTATTGAAATGTAGCAAAACAATTTTTTTTTGTGTGTGTTTAACTTGTTTGATAAAGCCACTATTAAAGAAAAAACATTTATTAGCTTGATTTTGCAATTAGACTAATTATTAAAGAAAAATAAACAAATGAAAAATAATTTTATTGGAAGGGTTGAGTTATGATTAATTGTTTAGTCCGAATTGACTTGTCCATCTTGACCAAATAAAAAATGAACTAGTTATTATCCAACTCAATTATTGATTTGATCAATTTTAACTTAGCCAAATGCAATTCAACTCGCTCATTTGATACTCCGATACATATTTTGGGTTGACTTACGAACTTATAAAATGTTTTGGAGATATTTCATTCGCTGCTTAAATGTTTTGGATTGAATACCCATATTTCTTCAAGTAGATTTCTTTTGATTTTTACTTCTTTTCCTATGGGAAGTCTGAAATGATTTTTTCTTTTTGCTGGTTAACTTTTGGATCAAAGGATTTCTTTTCCTATTCAAAAGGGGGAAATATTGTATCCCCTCACCAAAGATTAAGGACACAAGTGAAACTTACTCCATTGACAAATTATTCTATATCAAAGGTAGAGAAGGTGTTTCAAAATGACCCTCGGCTATCGTATAAGAAAAAAATAATCCTCGCATAGCTAATGTAGGGATTGGCTCGCTATATAAGAAAAACAATCACTGCATAACTAATGCAACATTTGGCTATGACTTATTAGAGATACTCTGCATTAAGTAATGGAAAATCCATATATAGTATGCGAATAAAAATATAAAGGTAAAATTACCCTTAAAAAAATAATTCCAACATATTATTCCTTGCATTATTATTCACTGTGTAATAATCCCTATATACTATTGAACAAATAAAAATTTATGTATTATAATCATAGCTAGTGATGGCAAAATGGTTAAAAGAAAATAGTTAACCATCCATATTATCCACTAAAAATGGGTTGGATAATGAACTTTTTAAAAACGGGTCAAATATGGATAAGAACCATATTATCCATTTAGAAAATGGATAACCAATGAGTTTAATTTTTACATTTGTAGAGCCTCAAATTGGGGTTCCTCAAGTTTGGGAGACTTGAAATTTTCCCAAAAGTGATCATATTCAATAAGTCATGGAAAACACGGTTACCCATATTATCTGCCGGTTAACCCTTTTTTTATCTGTATTAAATATGAATCGGGCCAGATAATTTATCCGTTTTTCATAACCCGTTTTCGACCCGAACCATACCCAATCCAACCCGCTCGTTTGCCACTCCTAACTGTAACACCCCAGGCTTTAGACAGAGTCCCACATCGGCAAAACACAAGAGGGATGTTGGGTATATAAATTAACAAGCTTTAGACCCTAGTGACGCGTTTTAAAACCGTGAGGGCCTAGGCCCAGAGTGGACAATATCACTAGCGGACTGAACTGTTACAGATGGTATCAGAGCCACTCTTGTGTCAGCTTTGCCGATGGTGGGTCAGATCAGAGTTCAATGCTGAGTCTAGGCGAATGCGGTAGGGCAAACCTCAGCGAGGACGCTGAGTCCATTAGAGGGGCGTATGTAACACCCCAGGCTTTAGACAGAGTCCCACATCGGCAAAACACAAGAGGGATGCTGGGTATATAAGTTAACAAGCCTTAGACCCTAGTGACGTGTTTTAAAACCGTGAGGGCCTAGGTCCAGAGCGGACAATATCACTAGTGGGCTGGGCTGTTACACTAACCATAGCATAACTAATATTTGAAGCCAAACCAACCCTAAGAGTTGGCATCCCTGTAGAAGCACCATCTATAAAGTATGAGAAAACATACTCTTTTTTTTTTTAGGATGAAGTAAAGGCGTTTCATTTCAAAAAAAATTGCAAAGTTACAAAAGGAAAAAAAAAAAAAAAAGGTACTAGTTTGTTAGTCCTTTTACATCGTGACAGGCAAAAATCAGGGAGCTAAGTCAATAAAATAGTCAATGCTAATTACAAGGATTAAGTTTGTCCAACAAAAGGTTAAGCAAACAAATAGGCAGAAGAAAGAGGAAGAGATTTTTGCATCATTCCTTCAAAAGAAATACCATTTGTGGTGTCAACTGCCAATGTATACACTGATATTTGCAATAATCATTCTTTTCTAAGCAATAATACTAATCTAAACCAGTGCCATTCCAATCCTGCTAGAGTGGTAGAACCCATTCCTTCCCGTACTTCATTACTCCTTCCATGTCCAGCACCTCCATTTGCATCTGAAAGGAGAAAAGACATTATTTTCTTTTTAGGATGAGAACTTGCACTTGAAATGCAGTAATATGTTCTAGAAGAAGAAACACTTTCATGAAAGATTGTTAAGACGACTTGGAATGATTGAAAACGGTACTAGGTTCAAATTTAAAAGAAGTGAAAAAAATTTCCCATAAAGGGTGTACAATATGTGTTATATACCTCTAAACGTAATATTGTACTTATATACGTAGCGTAATTTTTCGATGAAGAGTGGTCAAGTGGCCACCCTTGTGACCATGTGGCTTCGCCCATGTTCTCAATGGTATCGAGCATTCTCACTTTTCTTCTAGGAGTTTCAGCAGAACCTTCTCCAAGAACTGCCAAAACATTTCAAGCAGTTTGGTTTCCGCTGCTACCTAGAGAACAATAAAAACTTCCAGCACAAACCACAAGAATTCGTTGATGACGTCCAAAGAATGGGAGATGATCATTTGCATTGATACCACATCTATTGTTCCATGAAGTCCAAGAACATGTAACATATTGGGATATTTGCTAGTACTATTTTCAATAGAAAAACTCCAGCGCAAATGTAATTGGAGTAACCAAATACGTTCCACTAAGCATAGGAACACGATTAGATGGAATTTATTTCTGAAGAAAGTGAATACACCAAGCACTAGTAACCAAATACGTAAATGTTTTGTGTCTATTCCTGCCAGCAATCTGGCCAGATGGAGTCAAACCAGGTAGTTGATTTGGAATACCTCACATTCCCGATCCTCATCCAATCAGTGAGTAACAACAGCAAAAAGGATCCTCAAACTTTTATAATCTAGGAGATTTCCATCTGCTACTGGAAAGTACTGGATTTATGGTGACGCTAAGGAGCTTAAGATTCTGGACAATGATTTTATTCAAGGTATAATCTTTCAGGAAAAGGCGATGAGAAAGGCACAGACCTTTTTTCTGTAACCTACATTAAGCTCAGCCTCTCACTTTCAAGTAAACCTGTCAGCAAAATGTCAAGAGGAATAAGCCCCTTATAGAGCTCAACACTTCTCCAAGTACAACAGGGTATTGGAAATGCTATTAAATAACCCTATGGAATATGTTGTACTCTATTTTTGGACTCAATTGGGTCATGCCACATAGAGTTAAAAAGCCTATAAAGGTTGAGCTTATGAAGAGTTGATAAAGACATCAAGAAGATCTGGATTTTGGTCATGCCCAACAGCACATGGAAATGTTGTCATGTTGGAACAAGGGGAGAAGATCTGTAAGTGAGAAGAAGAGATGGGGTATGATTCCTGCATGCATATGGTGGACGCTTTGGAATGAGAGGAATTCAAGATGTTTTGAAGACAATGCTAACTCAATTCAGAAGATTAAAATGAATTGCCTACTGCTTTTTTATTTTTGGAGTAAACTTGAATACATAGAGGACTCAGAAGCTATAATAGATGTCCTTGGGTCTTTGTAAGAAGATAGATAAATTGATGTATATTTTTGGTTATTCCCTATGTAATTATGGCATGCACAGCCTTTGTGCTTTTGAATATAGCAAACTGTTATCATCTACAAAAAAAAAAAAAGATCTGGATTTTGGTCCCTGCAAGTATTTTTTTTTTGTGTGTGTGTTTGGACAAAAAGGAACTACAGATATTTTGATGGAATCTCAACTCTGAACCACTCTTTAAAAGCTAGACGAAGACTTCATTTATTTAGCTGGAGCCTAGGTTGCTCGGACTCGGGTGCGGGTGGCCGATACGGGTGAGGATCTACAAGTCGGATCCTTCATGATCTAATTTTAAGATTCGGGGGTACGGATCGAGGTATGGATACGGGTACGGGATTCAGCTAAAAATATATATCTATAAATAGAGTTATAAAATATGTCTAAATTATGAAACATTATGTGGAAAACTTATAAGATATAGGAGAAAATATTGATCAAAAGAAAATCCGAGAAGGAGACAAGGAAAATGACTGACATAAAAATTTCCATATACAAAGTATTTCATTTTCTTCAATTTTACCCTAGCGTTTGTTTGTTTTCAAAAATCATTGTATTTGTCTCGAATTTCTCCATTGACTTTAGTCAAAGTACCCAAAATCGGTTGATCATATCTGGTATGAATCCCACACCCACACCCACGTCGTGTCGACACGGGTGCGGCACCCAAAGTAAAGAGTCCAAGCAACTTAGGCTGCAGCAACCCAACCTCTATAAACAGCATTGATCCTCTTTGGACTTTCTTAGCTCCCTGAATCTAGTATAGTTTCTTTTGATGTATTGGAGCAATTTCTCTTTTGCACCTTTTCAATCTTCTTGATGCCTATCAATGAAACATCTTACTTCATTTAAAAAAGAAACACTAAGACTTAACCGTGCTAGAGACTAACCTAGCTGTTGTCCTGCCCTGCCTAGAGGAAAATCATGCCTTTCAAGACAACAAGCATCTATGTCCTCTAGCTTGAACTTTGAAAACAATATACTACAAGCTAATCACTTGTATTCAAGTATATACTGAAACAATAAAAAGGAGGAATGCTTACAAGAACTCCAAGCGATATAAGAAAAATATGATGTATAGATTCATATATATTCAGTGTTTTGTTCTATATACGACAAAAAAGAATTGCAAATAGAGAATATCAACTAGTAAAATATACTTGGGGAAAATGGGTAAAGCAAGAACTCTTACCAGTTATCGATTACATGATTGTCCGTCTTCATGGTTAACAAGTCCCTAATCAGCTGTCAACATGGGATTAACAAGGCTTTCCACATAGATTTCTGCCTGAAAACAGGTCTTAGGTTTAGTAAGCTCTGGTTGTCTGATTTGTCTTATTGAATCATCTTTTGGATTGTATACCCTGAAAACTGATCAATACAAAAGTAAAATTTCACCCTTATATAACTCGTAAAACGGCGGGGAAAATGGCATGTAACAACGTGGATAATACTCATACTTCCCAGGATCATCATAACAGTCAATGGTGAACATCTTTGTCCAAGATGCTTTAACTCCATAATCCTTCATAACCCACACATCAGAATGACTTCCCTCATAGTTACAAAGCACAACAAGATCACTTCCCAAAACTCCCAGCCTCAAAGCAAATCTACCTTTTCCGTAATTGGGTTGCTCCACCTTACCCCATGTCTCATGTGCTAAATCAAAAGAAATGATGTCGCAGCTATTGCCGTGATCGTACTCATAAAAATGAATTATGCAGCAGCCATATTCGCTATTGTACTCACAAGCAGTTGCAGATTTAGTCCAATAAAGCTTCCCCTTGACAAACTTAGCTGAACAATCTATCAAAGAGCTTCCCTCAAAATCCTCGACCGTTCTCCAAGAATCACTCTTCAAGCTGTAAATTTTGACCTTGGTCTCAAATGGAGCATAATCATCTCGATGATCATCAAAGATATTGAAAATTACCACTAGTTTATAATCGCCGTGTAACTCATCGTATCCAAAACCATACCTAAAATATGTAGAGCAAAACCACTTGGATTTAACTCCCGAGTCAGGCAATTTCCTCGACTTCCTAATTGATGGGTTCCATATATATAAATTAACTCCAGAACTAGGCAATTTATTCGTCATCCTCATTGGTTTATCCGAGTTTTCCTTATTGGCCAGACAAATCAATCCATTGGCCGTATCACACCACCTAGTAAGGGAATTTTTCATGGGATAATCCATTTCAGATGCCTCAGTAATTGGGTTGTAAATTAAGGAATGTAGGGGAAAATCCTTGAGATTGCATGTGAAGTTTAAGATAATCCTATGGTAGTTGTATTCTTTGTTATTAGAACAGGAACGGAGATGGGTGTTTATGAATTCAGAGCTCGAAATTAGAGAAAGCCATGATTTTGAAACAGACCTGAATTGCAACAATGATTTCACGGGCAGCTTCGACAGTATTTCCACGCCGATCTCCAGGGGAAGGGAAGGGATTATTGAGCTTGAATCTTGTTTTCGAAATTGGGCATTTCTTGTGCGTTTTCTCGTCCTCGAAGCTCTAGTTTCCATTGTAGCTGCAGATTTTAGTTCACATTAGGGTTTTAGTCCTTCAGTTTAGTCCTTCAGTAGTATAAAGAAAAGGTAATGTGTCTTAGCTTTATAAGGTTTCAGCTATTAATTTTGACTATAACAAACCAACACAATTATTAATAAAAAATTACTTATTTCTCCACAAGTTTATTCATAAAAGAAGATGCTGTCAAAGATCTAGACAAATACCGGAAAAAGAATATCATGTGAAGAATTTATTAAAGAAGATTAGAGTTAATCTCCAAGCATCGTAGAAGAAATAATATTTGAAAGTCAAGTTTCAAATATTGGATGGCTTACTCAGAGGCGGATCTAGGATTTCAAGAGAATGGGTGCACCGTTGTCGAAGATAAGAGATGGACGAGTAGTGCCAGATGTATTTTTTGACATCGGGTTCATCTGAACCCAATAGTTTTGACGCATAGCACAAAGTTATATGTAAACTTCACTAAACTTTCAATGACTTATGTCTAAACCAAAATTTTCAAATATAATGCTTTCAATACTAACATTATTAAAGACGAAAATGGTTAAGTCATGATTTCGCATCTGGAAACGAGTCATGAAAATCACGTATGTGACTTGTAATTTCGGGGATGGAAGCTAAGGTTTGAATACCGCTAAGATGGAGTTGAAAGAGAGGAAACACAATTTATTTTAAAAAATCCAGAAGAATTAACTTTATACGCAAAAGTGTAAAAATATGTTATCAACTTATTTAAATATTATTTATAGATAATTCATTAGTAATATTGAAAAGATCTCAAGTGAACCTGTGATAAAAGAATGAATTAAAAGATTACAAAAAAGAATAATAGAATAGGAAAACAAATTAAAAGAGAGAAAGAAGATCGTCTAAAAGAAAGATCAGAAATATTATATCACTATTTAATTAAATGGTTCATTACAACATTTTAATATTATCGAATGAATGCCCCAAGAATAAAATACTGTAAATTTACTTGAAAAGCTTTAAAAAGAGAAGTCATGTTAAAAGGTTTTAACTCCTTTACACGTATGCACATAACTAGATCCTCGATCAGTGCACCATTCCTTTGTTTGGTGCGGTGCACCAGATGCTTATATTTTATTGGGTGCACAAGGATAGCATTTGTCTAATTTATGAAAAGTTTGTACACCATAATACATAATTTTGGGTCTTAGCATGAGTTCGTGTGAACCAAAATATATTAAGTGGCAATATTGGAAGAAGAATTTATGAAAATTATGGAAGGAAAGTTTTTCAATATCTTGAAAGGGGAGTTGCTAAAATTATGGAGAAGATCTATTATTTATAGAAAAAAAAATATTACAAGGCCAAGGAAGAATATATTTTCTATGGAAAGAAAATATATTATGATATAGTAAAATATATATTATGGAAAGAGATTATTTTCCAAGATCAAGAAAGGAATATTTCCCATATAAAAAGGAAGAACTTTTACAATGACTTATTGGAAGAAAATGAGGAATATTTTGTGGAAGAAACTTTAAGCAAAGCAACGTGATTATGCACGGGAGACTTGGAAGGCATAATGTCCAAAGTTATAAAAAGAAATAAGGAAGGAGTTGTAATCAAGATTCTTACACTATTCAATCAAGGTGTCGGAAAGGAAAGAAAATCATTCAATGCATAATTGGAAGGATACTCATCAATTTACCTTATCCAAAGGAAAGCAGCAATATCTCTGCCCAGATCTAATATGTTATGAGAAGATTGACCAAACAAGAAATTATTGGAGTAGCATATTATGAAAACAAATAAAAGAGCAACAATCAAATTCTCTTGGATTAAGCAATTGCCGGAACAAGTTGAAAGGGGTATAAATATAAGAGCTCTATGAAGGAAGAAAGCATGCAACCTTCTATACAATTGTCTATCCAACTACAAGTTCTTTATGCTACTCTTAACAAGCATTGTAATACACTTTAGTAGATATACTGTGTACCCAAAAGAGAGAAGAGAGACAGAAAAATATTTGAGAGGCAGTGTGTCCTAGAGGTTGTGTCATTGTTCGTTTCTTTGGTGAGCGAGTGAAAACCAATCCTGTCAGCGTTGGTGGTGATCGTTGAAAATCACAAAGGCTGTACTCAATTCAATTTACAAAGATCTCTAAAAGACAATACTCTTGCAACCCAAGAGGACTGGATTAGATTACCACATTGGTTCCGAACCAGTATAAATTTTCTGGTTTTATTTACTTTATCACTTTCGTATTATATTCTGTTCCTTTACTGGTTATTGTGATTAACACTTGTTTAAATCGAAAGAACTAATAGTTCTGTACAAGCTATCTCTGCATAAGTCGACTAGACCTGAAAAGTAGTCGACTAAAAATATAAAAAAGCTACAATTTACCCCTGTTGTACTTTCTGTGAAGTAAAACTTTCTTTTGGAATAAATCACTACTATTTCGCTTTTGCACTTACTATTAATTTATGATTTCTTCCCACGTAAACAAAGAAAAACTGCATAAAACAAGGACAAATTGAAGGAATCAGTTGATTTAAGTTGGTGGATCTATACTGTCATTAAAGTGTCTTTATATTTCCCAATACTCAAACTGCTGATAAATGACACTTATATTTGTGCCACTTTGTTATGTCGATCCCCAAACTTAACAATTTGTCAACCAAACTCTTTTACCCTTAAAAATTAAACATTTTAAACCCCGCTCATCCTATGTGGCAATTTTTACTAAAGTGCGTGTGCTGCACTCGTTTAAGGAGCATGAGGCCTATTAAAAAGGTACCAAGAGCCATTTTTTGGCTGTCATCATCTTCCCGGTTGTTCATCCTCCATTGTTGAACAAAAGTGAGCTTTTCTTCTTTGCTTTTCTCCCTCTCTCCAACATTTTCTGTCCAATTCTTTTTTTCTCTCTCTTCAATATTTTTTGTCCAATTCTTTCTCCCCTCCCCTGAGTTTAGTATTTCATCGAACACCTGGTGTCTGTAATTTTGTAGATTTTGTTTTTTGAATTGTTGTGACGATTGATTCATTGTAGTTGTTGTTTGATCGTTTGGCATCAATCAGTTGCTCAGTTGGAGTCAATTGGCATTGATCTTGTTCAATTTGGACACCTGTAGCTCCATGCTCGACCAACTGGTGTTCGCCGGCCATATTCAGTTGGTTGGAGGAGACTATTCCGGCATTGAAATTGTCTGAAACTTGGTGAGTCGATGGTATTTGAAGTGGAGAACAATCTCCGCTGCTTGGAATCACTCAATTTGAACCAGAACCGATATGATAAATATCAGTTTTGCTTCGACAAATGTCCATTTCTGGCAGCAGAATGAAGTGTTGTTTTCCCATTACTTTTAACAATAGTGGCCAAACTTTTCTCTGCTTCTAATAGATATAATTCACCACCTCAATATGCCTTTGGTTTGCTGCACTATGCAAAGCTGTTGTATTTTCATTATCAACAGTCAAAGCTCAGGATGTGCTCCCAATATGCCCGTGTTATCGATAATCTCTCTTATTTAAACAAGATTTCCTGCTCTAGCCAATGAAAGCAAGACAGTGTCCTCACGTTTCCCCGTTAATTGTTTCTTCATCCTTTTGGGGGGCATAGATGCCTCATCTTATTCAATTGTTCCAAAATTCCACCCTTTGGCTTAAAAATACGAATCCTTAACCAACAGCCTCTTCTTCTTTCCCTCAAACACCCAGATCAGCAATAGTATTTTTCAACACTAAGAAAGATTCAGAAACCGAAAAGAGTAACTTTTATATACCTGAAGCATCCTAACCTACAAATTATGACAAAATTCTGTCGTTGATGTTCACAGCAATCGCACCATTTGAGGAAGGGGATTAGTGTTTGAACTTTATTTTTATTTATTTTTTATTTTAATTATTTTTAATCTACCATCTGACGTCTATGGCACGTGTTAGGTCGTCGCAGGACACGGCCATGGCATGTGTCAGGACGTGTCAGGACGTCGCAGGACATGGCCATGGAACGAGTCAGGACGTGCCAGGACGTCGCAGTACATGGCCATGGCACGAGTCAGGACAAGTCAGGACGTCGCGGGACATGGTCATGGCACGAGTCAGGACGGCGCAGGACATGCACATTGTTACTTTTTGACGTGGCAGCCAACGTGGAAGAGATAGTGTTATACGCACTGACAGCCTCCTGTCATAAGCATTTATTATACATGGTTTAAAGGAGTATTAAGGGTTTGGTTGGCAAATTGTTGAGTTTGGGGACCGGCATGACAAAATGGTACAAGTATAGGTGTCATATAGGCCATTCTGCCATGTTTTATTAACAACTTGTTTGGATCGTTGTCACCTATTGTATCATATCGCATTGTTACTTTAAATACAATGTTTGTTTTGATTGTTACTTAAATTTTATTGTATCGTATCGTTAAATCCGTCGTTACGTAACGATGAAATGTGCCACTTTATGTAGCGACCAATTTGGTGTGGTCGCGTCGTTTCCTTGTGTTTTTCTCTCAATCTCACCCTTCATTATTATTAAATAATTTTATTTTATCATTTATCCTACCTTTTTATACAGCGTATCATTATTTTTCTTTATAATATTGCAAGTTTATTCATCATATTAATGGTGCATGATACCATGAAACGACGGTAAAATGACACAATTCATTCAAACATTGTATTCATCACACGATACAATACAATACGATACAATATGATACGATTCATTATGAAACGATATGTAACAACCATCCAAATAAGCCGTAAGGGAAAACATAAATTGCCCCATAAACTTGTCGGAAAAGCCATTTACCTCCCTTGACTTTATGGGCAACCTATCACCCCTGTTCTTTTCTGAAGTAGAACTAATATCCGCTTGTTTTTACATATCTACAAAGAAAAAAAGAAAAAAAGGGCACCCCTTACATAAGACAATCCGCGTTCATGCAGGGTTCAGGGAAGGGACACACCCCGAGAGATGTGATGTAGAGAGCCTACCCTAATGTTAAAAATATTAAAGACATCTTTTTACGAAATAAAGTACATTCACTAAAGCATACACTGCTCTACTTCAAGCATATAATTTGAAGTTCACATCCTTTTCTTTTGCATCATTACATTAAACAACATGCCATTTTTGGTGTCAACTGCCAATGTATTACACAGATATTTTAAATAATCATTCTTCTCTAAGCAATAATAGTAATATAAATCAGTGCCATTCCAATCCCCCTAAAGTTGTAGAACCCATTCCTTCCCATACTTCATTACACCCCACTTCTTCATTATCAACACCTTCCATGTTGCAGTCCCACCAGCCACCTCCATTTGCATCTGAAAGCAGAAAAAACAATATTATCTTTTTATGATGAGAACTTGCACTTCAAAATACAGTAATATGTTCTAGCAGATGAACCACTTTTATTAAGAGGACTTACAATGATTGAAGAGGGTACTAGGTTTCTCAATGTTGTCGGGCATCCTCACTTTTCGTCTACTACGCTTTTCTGCTGAACCTTCTCCAAGAACTGCCAAAACTTTTCGAGCAGATTGGTTTCCGCTGCTACCTAGTAAACCATTTTAAACTGTCAGGGCTAAACCACAAGAACTCGTCGATGACTTCCAGAGAATGCGAGATAACCGTCTGCGTTATATACCACATTCTTTATGCTCCATTAATCCAAGAACATGTAAGATATTACTATGGCAGAACTCAAATGCAAATGAAATTGGATTAACCAGATAATAGTTCCACTAAGCATAGGAACTAAATTAGATGGTATTTATTTCTCAAGAAAGCCAATACACCATGCGCTAGTAACCAGATAAAAGTTGTGTCAGTTCCAGCCAGCAGCCTAGCTTGAAGGAGTTAAAACTAGGTGCTCGAATTTTGAATACCTCCATCCCCAATCCTTATCCACTCAGTGAGTAACAACACTAAAAGGGTCCTCAAATTTTTAGAATCTAGTGAATTTCCATCTGTTTTTGGGAAGTGCTGAACTAACACTTTTTTAAGGGGCTTAAGAAATGGACAATGATCTTATTTAAGGTATCATCTTTCAGGAAAATGCCAGAAGAAAAGTAATAGGCCTTTTTCTCTATGTAGCTGAGATTAAGCTAAAACTCTCAATTTCAAGCAAAGCTGTCAACATAACTCAAGAAGAAGAATCCTTTCGGCCCTTCTAGAGCTCAATACTTCTCCAAGTACCACAAAGTATTTGGAAATCTTATAAATAATAAGTATCGTATAAGTAATAGCAGCTATATAAATAGAGAAGCAATATCAACTAACAAACTATTGCGTTGTTATTTAGAATTTGAAGTTTTATAGCTTGCGATTTGGGAAGCGAGGTCAAGTGACACAAGAAGCCATCTGATACTGATTAGTTCTTGTTTTACAGCGCATGTATGTTAGTTACAGACACAAAGCTTAGGTACTAGGTATATTAGTTACAGAAACAACATACCTCACTAGGTAGAGGTAAGGCCTGCGTACACACTACCCTCCCTAAACCCCATATGTGGGAATATATTGGGTTTGTTGTTGTTGTTTTTGTTGTATGTTAGTTACAGAAACAAAGATTAGATACTCAGCAACGAAGCTAACCAAATAAAAATATATATCAAGGCAATCTCATGAAAGCCTAATTCATCAAGAAAATATGATTAGCACAACAAACATGCATGTGAACAGCTGAACTGATTCATATCTGGAAGAATGACTAACCTTCAATAAGACCTCTTTTTCTTGATGTTCTGACATCATCTGCGCTACAAACTAAAACCTCACCACAATTATTAGGAGTAGAAACATCTTGGTTCCCTTTCATGGTGTTCTTATATTGTTCAAAAATAGCATCAAGAGCACACGGAATTCCTGTCTCTCCATCTTTCTCACGGTTGATCTGTCCATTAACAGACTTACTTGTGTCTTTACTACTTACTGGCACTGAGATTTTCTTATTTCCCTGCAAAAGTTTAGTTCCCGTTTACACTTAAATCTAATAAGGTAAGTTATTGTACAAGTAGAGAAATTACACATCATGATATGGAGAACCTATAATGATTTCTACAGGCTGCTCAGGAAACAGTTGCATGTTCCAAATACTAATGCAAAGAATAGAACTCTGTCAAAACTGAGAACTATTGGAGAAATGTTTGAGCTGAAGCTCAACTGCCATGGCTGAAAGCCATGAAGCTCAGAGAAGATGAAGAAGCTTCGAGAGAATTTCAGACTGGGAGAAACATTTCTCATTAGTTAGAAAATTAGAACTAAGTGCGCCTATATACAAGATATTGTATTTGTACAGCTGTCATCTACCACTAACTGCCTAAACTACCACTAACTAACATACTGACATCAACAAACATCCTAACTAACTAATTGCAATAATAGCCATAGCCAATCGTAACAAATATGGCTACTAGTTAAATAATTACAATGCAACTCTAATCTTAACACTCTCCTTATTTTAAATAAGAACACATATAATGTAAATGACAAGTTAAAACCAAACAAACTTTAAACAAATCTTTTCCGATATTGGCATTAGTTGAAGCCGGTAGCATCCACAAGCTGTTCGTATTCTCAAGTCTTGAGGTGTTCCAAAAGAGAAATTTAGCTCAGAGCCTCAGACCAACCACCAACCTTAGTCCATCATTTAAAGGCATCGAGTGCACCTTCGTAAACGAAGTTCAGAATCAACAAGGGTTCACAATCAACAAGCGTTCACAATCAACAAGCGTTCACGAACAAAGGATGTATTAGATACACACACATAGATAACCGCTTATATGTTGTGTTGGCCTACAAGTTCTACACTTCAGCTACAATGTGAAATCTTTAAGTAATGGCAAAAAACAGAGAACACAAGTTTCTGCCTTCATTTTTTTTGAAATTTTCTTGAGTTCCCAATGTTGGCTACTAATAAATTAAAAAAAACTACAAGTAGTTAACAAAAATGCAGTTCAAAATCCTACATTACTTATTTTGCTAGCATTTCATGAACACAGAAACTAAAATAATTTAGGTTTCTTACTGGAACTACTCCGGGCAAAACAGGACTTTTGTGCAATTTTTTGCTGAGGAAGTCAGATAAAGAGATGCTTGAACCCTTTTGATTGGTAATTTTGCTTTCCACTTTCTTCTCGCAACCAGTAGACCTCAAATAAATCACAAAAAGTAAACCCCAGATTCAGAAGTACACTCAGAAAGCTAAAAAGAGAGAGATTTAACAAGAAAATTAAATTTCTTCTTAGAATTTAAAATTAATCAGCAAAGGGAAAACCCCAAAAGTGAGCGAAAAAAGTGAGAGCATAATTAAAGAGAAAAGTTATATTCTTTTCTTACTGATTTGAAGAACGAAAGAGGAAAGTTGAAGCAATTGAACGCTGCCCTAATGGTCGTATTGAAGGTTGATTTTTCATCTTCTTCGCCGATTTGCTTTTGGTTTTGCGATTTTGGGGCCAGTTTGTTTGGGAGTTTTGGCGCAAAATATTTGAAAATTTCGCCAAAAACGACAATGAACTGTCGGACACCTAATTTATGCAAAATAAAAGGAACCAAAAAAGAAAAAAATATTTAAGTGTTGCAAAACAAAAGAGATTAATTGGGGTGAGAGAGGCTCGAACTCTCGACCTCAGGATTACTCAGAAGCTATGAGACCTACGCGCTAGCCAACTGCGCCACCACCCCATTGCTGTTAAATCGTTCAATCATACTATCTATAACACATTGAAATCAGTGTATTTTATACATAATTATGGGGAACTTTTGAACAAAATGCAGAAAAATATTGAAAGAATTACAAGAAAATACACATGACTTCACATCATAACAAAAAATGATCCATGTTTTTAAGTTTTACTCAACCTAGCCCATATTGTACATATTTTGAAAGCACTAACAAATTCAAAATTTGTGTTCTTACAACCATTGCTTTCACTCACTCTTCTTCTCATATCATCTACATATGCTTCAAGGGGCCGTATATTTTTTGGTTCTCCTCTTATGTCACCTGGTTACAAAGAAAGAAAATTGAAGAGTAGAAGTCCACCATTGAAGATCATTCAAAGCTTTGCTATAGAAAATGAGTTTTTTTAAATTTGTTAGTTGTTTGGATTGGGTGTTGTTCTACTCGATTGAAAATATCAAAAGGAGATCAAAATTTAAATTTAAAGTGATTTGGAGTAGATTTGAGCAAGATTTGAGTTAAATTTCAGAAAAGACGTAAGGAAGAAGACGAAGTCAATTTTTTGTATAATTATGTATAATCTTGTATAATAGTGTATATGAGTGAAGAAACATACCTTATACACGATTATATACTTTTATACACATTTATACAAGCATCTGTAGACGAACGTCTTCCACGATTTTCAGTTGCAATTCCTGTTCAAAATCAG